TGCAGCAATACATCATCAATTGAAATAACAGATCTTCTTCCACACCCGACCACCGTAAGAATAGTAAAATGTTTTAATAAATTGATTATACTGTTATATTTTATATGTTTGCAGATCTGCAGGAATATTACTCGACTTTATGAAGAGTATAAGATTGAGTTAATTGATATTTGTGAACAATTAACAAGTTTTTGTTTGATAGCCGATCAATGCACTGAAGCTCATACCGATTAGAACATTAAATATTTTGTTTATGCAGGAAGACAGCTATAATCTGAGTGTTTTTTTGTACTTGCATTTAGGTATTAGTTACTGTGATATAGATTTACGATACATTGGAGAATATTCTCAATTATTTTCGTTCATCACTGGTTGTTTTCCATACAATGCAGGTAGTCATTCAGCACAACATCTTCGATAATTTGTGAATAAAATATTAGAAGAATATAAACTACAACTAGATTCAACAAAATTTGTTGGTGACAGATAATGAGCCAAAAATATTGCCAGCATTTCGGGAACAATGTTCTCGCGTTGGTTGTGCTGATCACTATTTGAATAAACAGTTACAACATGCTTTTCAATCAGATCAAATTCATTTAAATAAAAGTACAATTGAAAAAGTTGCTTGTGAATTAGTTCAAAATATTTTTAATCAAGTTAAAAAAGTGGTTTCTTCTGTAAGACATTCCCATCAACAACAAACATTTTCTCAAAAATTACAAACGTATTCTGAAACTCGTTTTGGTGGTGCTATCATTATGCTGGATATTTTTCGAGAGATTTTTTTTTGAATTACCAGAAGTATTAATTAATAGAAAAACTTTGAATGATTATAGTTTGATTGAAAAAGAACTACTCGATGATATTTGCAACTATCTTGAACCTTTTCAGGAGATACTTGATGCTGTTAGTGAAGATCAACAACCGAGTCTTCATCGAGTAATTCCACTTAGACAATATTTGATGAATAAATGTGAAGTAAAAGAAGAAGATTCAGCTACAATAATCCGACTGGAAGTTCTTTTAGGTAAGAAAAAAAAATCATGTTAAATATTTCTCAAGCTGGTATCTGAAAAGCATCAAAGTTTTGTTGAATATGTTCTTTTTATTGCTTTATCTTTTCTTGTAAAATTCTAGCATGTCGAATAAAAAATGCTTGGCATATAACTGATCACCATCGTTTATCAACTATTCTTCATCCAAAATTGAAAAATTTTGACTGCTGTATTGATGAAAAAGAAAAATTAATCAATGTATTAAAACAAGAATTTGAAAAACATAAATTAATTGATTCTTCGTCGTGCACAAATACATTACATTTAACACAATCCAATGTACAATCTTCTTCACCAGCATCAACAACTAGTACAACACCAAAACGAAAGAACTTATACGTCACAATGTTTTGATTCGAAAGTTAATGTTATTTCTCAATCATCAAACCCATATCAAGAAATCGATGACTATTTAGCTGCTGATTTTAGACAGAGTTTTTTTGATGATAATAATTCTGATGATATTGATATTTTATTATTTTGGTAGGAAAAACAACAATTATTCCCAATATTATCAAAAATAGCAAAAGTAATATGTGCAGTACCAGCTGCCAATACTATTATTGAACGTCTTTTTTCAGTAGCGAAAAATGTTATTACAGAAAAAAAGAACACGTTTAGATTGTGAAAAGATAAACCAAATATTATTTTTACAGAAGAATATGCAAACACTAAAACACTTATCAAATAATGATTTTCGTAGAAAACGAACTGTGTCGATGTCATCGACAACAACAGTATCATCTGAAGAATCCACATGCATAATTGCTAAAAAATCACGTATCGATGTCGAAGACAGTTTCAATGATTTATATAATAAAGATATTTTCCTGGATTAGTCTGTTTTCTTTTTCCTTATGCTAATGGTTAATATAAACATCTTTCTTATGTCTTTATTTTTTCTTAAAATTTATTAATAAAACTAAAAGTAGCGCATCTTTGTTTATTATATTATATTTCATGAATAAAGCTATTTCTAGATAAGAGTCGAACTATTTGATTGTTGTACTCATATAACTCAGATATTAACCCAGAAAATATCCTTTTCAATAATTCCTACTTCGACCCCATTGGAGTCAGGATCGGATTTCGGAGTCGGAATCGGGTTTCGGAATCCGGTGCAGTTCACTAGTGATGAGTGAAACACATATGTAAGATTCAAAGTGAATTATGGATCCTGACCGGTGTAGTCAGTCTTATGAGGATCCCGCTGAATAAAATCGATTTTTGGCAGAAACATCGAAATGTAGAGAAATGCATCAGAAGATGGGTCATCTTCAGATGTTAAAGAATGACTATGAAATTTGTTCTGAGCGCGGCGTTTTTCCAGAGTTTTTGATGATTTCTGCCATGTTCTGCTCGATGAAGAAGTTTTTTTTTTGGAAAAAAGGAAAAATCTTTATCGCTTTTTCTGAGAGGTTACGTTCGACGACGCATCTCGAGCGACATTCAGTCACAGTGTGATTTGAAAGCAAATATTTGTTTTTTTGTTTGGAAGAGCATGTAAAGATGATGGGTCTTTGAGGATTTTTTTGTTTAGTTAAGGTTTATTTTTATTATATATGGAGAGTCTTAGAGTTGTAGACACCCTTTTTTAGTGAGTTTTTCCAACCGTTGAACGTATGAGCCTTTTTTTTCTGCTTAAAAAGTAAGAATTAAAAAATGGCTCTCTGAGGCGCTGCATGCTGACATGCTCTATTGGCATAGCCTCCCCACTATTCCCAAGATATCCTGAAAATATCAGCCAATTTGAATGTACCTGGATCGAGATCGAATTTTGAAAGGGTGCCCTCAAGTCATCTTTTTGCAATAATCTATTCGTTAATTCAGTTTTTTTCAGTCTGTTTGACCCCTAAGAATTACGACTTCTGTTAATCTTAAGGATTCTCTCGTTGCATGTGAGTTTTTATGTTTTAGATCAGTTTGATGAATAAGACGCTATGAAATTTTCTTTATGGACGTTTCGTCAAGTCATATGCTGCAGTTTTCAATGGTATGAAAAGAGTG